GAGTAGCTATCCCATCAAACAGCACAAGGCCCTGGCAGCCTTCTGAATCACAATCTCCATGTGTTCATGCTTGTTTGTTGTCTCAGCCAAGGTCACTCACGTGCTGGCCAAGCAGGTCACTCAACAGCCCCTGGAGAGAACGGGGCTAAAATGTAAGTAGCTCAAAGAACTGACAACACTGATCCCCAAGGCATTGGGAAGGCCATGAAGAAATGCAGACTCCCCCCAGTTCCTCCTATTAAGAACTGGTTTTCCTTTAAATATTAACAAATCATAATCCACAATTCCCCTTGCTTGGCTTTAAAATGATAACTGCTTTGTTTCAAGAAAGCAATTGCTCTTTGTCCCAAGAATCTTAAGTCCTGAAATACTCAGGGAGACAATTAAGTGGCTAGAGAGGTATGTGACCCTTATCCATACTTGTGTAAGGCTGTCCAGCCACTCTGACACAAACGGCTGTGAGCAGGCACAAAATCACTTGCCCACTAGGTAGTCCTGCAGGCTCAGCCTCGGTGAACAAGTCCTCAGCAATACATAGAGGTTTAGATATAGATACATGGGCCCTGTGCAATAGCCTAGTGGCTAAATCCTCACTTTGCACCCACTAGTATTGCATATGGGTTCCAGTTCATGTCCCTACTGCTCTACTTCCCATCCAGCTCCCTGCTTGTAGCCCGGGAAAGCAGTAGAGGATGGCCCAAAGTCTTGAGACCCTGCACCCACGTGGGAAGCCCAGAAAAAGTTTCTGACTCCTGGCTTCAGATTAGATCAGCTCAGTTCTGACCATTGTGGCCACTTGGGGAATGAATCAGCAGACGAAAGATCTTTTTTTTTTTTCTCTGTGTTTCCTTCTCACCATAAATCTGACTTTTCAATAAAAAATAAATAAATCTTTTTTAAAAAAATAAAACACAGATATAGAGTCATCTACATCTCTGAGATACAAAACAGATGGAGGCCTGGATTTTCAATTCTCCAGTCCTTTGTACAAAATGACCTCTGTAACTCTGTATTTTCACTCATGCCCAAGGACAGCTACCTTCCTCTCGTTGCAGTCATAACAACCCCATCCTCCAAAGTTAGTTTCCACTGAGACGCAACAGCTTCTTCTCCCAAAATGTGACTTACTTGGTTAAGCATTTATGCTGAGTACTTCCGTGCCTGAACTCAGGCACGTGGACCTTCTGACTTGTCTCTGCTGCTCCAGAGCAATGGACTCAGCCTGCTGTTTCCTCACTGGATCGCCCTGAGGGTGCTGGGACCGCCTGCACAATCTGCTCATGGAAATATGTGAGCCCCTACTAACAAAGGGCTGCTATTCAGGTTAGCAGTCCAAGGCTGAACTTCAGTAGTTTGCATTCTAAGTTCAAATCCAGGCTTTGACAGCATCTGTCTAAGGCTGGATAGGTTCTATAACTGTTCTTCTATAAAATATGAATAACTCAGTGGCATCTATCTCATAATCTTGTCATTAGGATTAAATGAGACACTGCATAAATTTCAAAGTATTTCAGACTTGCTAATGTGTGTGTGCCTTTAGCTAATAACTTCATTGTGGTTCTGGCTTTTTCTTCCTCCCAGATTCAAACAAATAATAAATAAACAAAGGACAAATAAATAAATGTCTTCTGAAAACTGAGAGGGCTATGGTGTTGATTTCCACCATATTCTCCCCAACCTTCAGGACTTGTTCAAATGTCTAGTTTCAGGGGAAGTCTTCTTCAACTCGGGGTGGGTTTACCTGTTTCCCAGGTATGTTCATTTGCATACACTTCTCACACCTCACAACAACTGTTTAAGTATTTTCTACACTCTCTTTTAGACTCTGAACAATTTTTGTTGTAAAGGAATTGAAGGCTCCAAACACCCTTAGCTTAGGAAAGAACAGCTTAAGTCAATGACCTCCATTGTACTACAAACAACTTTATGCACTGTACATCAAGTGCTTGTTGATTATGCCATTTTCAATTAATGGTCATCATTACTGCTTTTCTCTGTGATACTGTACACCTCCATTCTGTCGTAAAAGCATTTTGAAATATTCTAAATTTACAGCTTTAGGGGTACCCTTGGCAATGAAAGGGCATGAGAGAGTTCAGACAGTCATCAAACATAAACGTGCTCCTCTCTGGGCAGGAGATAGGCCAAAAGCTATCTTTTTTCATTCATCAGCCTCTGCACTCCACCAGAAGGGTCAATTACTGCCCTGCAGTTTCTAAGTATTTAATTCCCTCTTCGGCGAAAATCCCACAGTTGATCATGTGGCAAATATTTTAGGTCACAGGACACCTGAACTTTCAAAAACCCAGTGTGCATGAGGTGAGATCGTCCCTCTGGTGGCTGGAACTCTGACTTTGCAGTGTTGCCAGACCCCTCCACGAGAGAGCCCTGTGTAAACACCTGTGGAGTGGCAGATAAATGAACTCTCCACTCACAGTTCCTGCCTCCGTGTCTAAAGGAGTGAAGAACAGAGGCTGGCCAGGGTCCTGGCCTTGAGTCAGACTGGAAGGAAAGGACAAGAAAGCTATTTACACTCTCTACTTTGGAGACGCTGCTTCTAACTCCCACAGGACAAGATAGCAGTGTAGACAGAACTGAGGGGCCCTGCCTCAGCACCATCTGATGGCAACTGTGTGCAAGTGCTTTATCTCCATGACAAGGAATCTAACAACCAGCCCATCACGTGGGCTCACGATTCCACTGGACAGATGAGGAAACCAAACTCCCGACTACAGACAACGACAAGCCACATCCACTGGAAGAAAAACCCAAGTGGGTGAAGCCATAAGGACTCATGTTCTCCTCATCTGCAAAGAGATTCCAGGGGTGCCAGGTCCGGGAACAGGCTCCTCGGAACACAAAATGTTTAGAGTGTGCAATAGGCTTAGGCATGACATCAAGTCCTTTACTTGACAAGTCACCACCATCTCTTACCTGTTTCTCCCTCTTTCTCTTTCATACACACACAATCATACAAGCACACAAATGATGTGACTGATAGAACATCTGCATGGACAACAGCCTACACATTCTTGAATACATCCACAGATGCCAGCACATTCACTAAAATATGCATGTATGCCAACACAGTAACAACATACACTTCACAGATGTTGACCTGTGCATATGGACCCTTGGCAGCTCCCCAGGTCCACAACACAAACTCAATCCCACAACTGAATAGTACAAGTCAGGGTTCATGTTTGTCTTTCCCATATACCTCTGCATCTTCCAAAATGAATGAATGAATGAATGAATAAATAAATCCCTCCAGATCTTTCTTCAAAGATCTGGAATTACTCAACCCCACTTGAATGGGTGGCCCAGTGTGCCTGGCTCCATGTGTGGCGAGCAAATCCTTTCATGGAGCTCAGCTGTCCTGAGGGCATCCAGGAAAGCTGGCATGCAAAGACAGAAAATACGACAACTGTTGGGAACCCTCGGCAGCCATCCATGGCAGAGACTCAGTGTCTCCTGCAGCAGCCACTTGCTCAGTGGCGACAGCAGCCTATTATCCAGGGCACACAAAACACCCATCAGCTCCATGGCACCAGCGACTGAATATCTCCATTCTTGCCAAGTTCAGGACCCTGGTCATGCTGCCTCACCAGGCACGCTGGAGACTATGAACAACTCTAATCACTATCAGATGTACACACACACACTCACACACACACAGCAGGGGCAATGGGAAAAGACAGGACAAAGCACTCTCCCTGGGTTTCACCGACCCTATTCAAGGACTTTCTCCAAGCAAGCCAAGGTACTTCAACATGGCCCCATCAGCCACTCTGCTGCCTCAGGAGCCACACCCCAGAGACAGATTTGAAGAGCCACGCCCCAGATTTGAAGAGCTTGAGAAAAGGGGGTCTCAGAGCCACAGAGAGAGACCCCATCCGACACTTCTAAGAACAGAAGGGCCTGTGTGCAGTTTCCCCATGAAAACTGTCCAGAGGCTCCTGAAAAAGACTTTCACGGACTTTGCTTCCAAAATATCACACACTTTTTCTCCAACAAATGCATGTTTCTTGGGTCTCCCAGACTGGGGGTGGGGGAAAGATTTAGGTGGGAGAATGTCTGGTGACTCTTTTATGCCAATACATTAACAGGGCTTCTCTTTTAATTGTTATTATTTCACTAGAGCAGCCATAATCATTCTCTCATTCCCAAAGGAAATATATAATCCAGCTGTGGTGGCTCCAGTAAAAACACCACATCTGCGGATCACTGGCCATACTTTGGCAAGACAGCTCCAACAGAGGCCGGCGGGGCGAGTTCTTTCTTCTACCCCAGATGCACATGGTACACTTCTTTTCAAAGTGCACAAGAACTTGCCTCCCTTTTGATTACAGAGGAGAGGTTTTCAGAAAATTCACACTCATTAAAAAGAAGAAGAAAAAGCCAACTCTCCTGGACTCCTAGTCCCAGGGCCCCGAGGCGGTAGCCGGTAAGCCGTCTTCAGACCTCTCCCAGGAGGTGGCTTGCGCCAGGGCCTCAGTCCATATCTAAACCGACAGGAGGAAAGCAGCCCTTCTGGTTTCTGGGAAGATGTCCTACAGCATGGTTGGCTGGCTGAGAAGCCGACTCCTGGTTTTCCACTTAGCGGAGAGGATGGGTTCCAGCCAGTGGCGTTCCGGTTACCATCCTCTGCTATCTGCTCCCAGTGGTTGAAGCCAATGTATTACTGCGCCCTGGGTGATATTACCACAGGACTCGGCGCCCAAGCCTCTGGTAGTCTCTTCCCTCCAAATCAGCAGAAAGCACCTTCATTCTAAACGCATCTTCCACCTTCAATTCCCCAAACCCCAGGCATGCCCTAAGGGGGTAAGCCTGCACTTGTATAAAAGAGACAGCGGTAAAGCTAAAGCCGGTCTCCACCACCACCCCCGCCAGACGTCGGCAGCTTCTGAGCTGGAATGCCCTCGCCCTGAGGGCCCCCCGGAATCCCCCCTCTCCCCAGACAATAGAACAAGAAGAAAATAAAATGAAAGTGGACTTACGGCGATGGCTTGCAGCCTCTCCTTGTGCAGTTCCGCCTCTGCCATCCTGGAGAAGGGCACGCGGGCAAGGGAAAGAAGAGAGAAAATACAAAACGCGCTGTAGTCTCCTGAGGAAATTGGTGGACACCTTGGTGTGGGAGGGAGGGGAGAGAGGGTCTGGGCGAGAACCCGGGAGAAAGCTGAGGGGCGGCGGGCAAAGCTGCGCGCACGGCCGGCTTGCCCGGCTCAGCCTCTGGCCCACGCCCGCCCGGCCGCCTGGCTGCGCCCCAGCGCTGCCGCTCTCTGCATCTCCCGGTCTCTGCCGCGGGCCGCGCCGGCGGGGACGTGGGCCGCGCGGGCAGCCGCCAGGAGGGCGCGCTCGCCCTGCGCTCGTCCTCCGCCCTGACGTCTCGCGCCTCGCTCCGCCCCTGGGGTGTGGGGGCCACCGTGGCCCGGCGAGGTTCCAGGCTGACAGGAGTCGCCCGGGCAGCCTCCTCCGCGTCCTGTCTCCAAGGCGCGGAACCACCGAGTTACACGCGTGCGAATGAGCACCTGGGGCGCAGAGCACGGCTGATGAGCCCAGGAGGACTAGGCGCTAGCTGGAGCCCGAGCTGAAATAGGTGGGCGCTCCCTTCCCCACTCCTCAGCAGATGCCCGTGGAGGGGCATCTGGCAGAATGCAGGACCCGCGCATGAGTCCTTACGCGAGGGCTGCGGCCACCGACTGTGACTGTTCTGGGCTCCTTCTAGCTTGCGCCAGATGCTCAGGCTCCACGTGGGGACCTTTCCAGCAAGGACAGGCTCCCTCTCCCGCGCGTGCTTTAGATGGCCCTCACTCAGTCAGCTTGGGGACAGGGTGTGTTCCCAGACAGCCACCCTCTTGGTGAGGCCAGATGTGGCTTAGGACTGCCGAGAGTTTGTACTGCTGGGTGCTGGGGTAGTCTGGGCTTGGTGTCTGGAGAATTGTGAAGCCTTGGGCAGCTCAGTTAACCACTCCGGAGCCCAGTTTCCTCTTCGGTAACAAATGGGAGATCATAACCCTAACGTTACGGAGGTGTCATTAGAGATGAATGAGATAAAGCGTAACATAAATTTTTGTGTGGCATATATTTTTTTTTCTAACCAAAACAGGGTATCAAATGACACTAAGAGATGGATAGGAGCCAGTGCAAAACAGAATCAATGCCAAATACAAACAAAACGGCTCAACATTTAGGAGGGACCTGCTACAACTTCCAACTTTCATAAGCCAATTTTCCTGTGTAAAACGAAATAGATATTGGAAAGAGAATATGCCTCGTTAGATCCATGTGACTCTGTGAACGCAGGACCCAAGCAGGCATTTGAGGAGCTACACAGGTCAAACTTGTTCCCTGGGGAAATGTGTTCAATTCCCCAAGATCGTCCTCCGCATGGTCACAGAGGTTTCTCCCATCGCATGATGAGCCTTAGCTGTTTGCAGATGGACGCTCGCCCCTGACCACGGTACCAGTGGATCGCTTTCTCCTCTTTGTCATCATAGAGGTAGGTGCAACTGTCAGTGTCATAAATTCCAGCCAAGGCCAGATCCTTCATCTTCATACAGTCTGAGTTTCTGCTTTCTACCCAAGACCCATCTTTCCTGTCAGATGCTTTATTTTCCCTTGCTTTCCAGCTACAGCCCCAGTAGAACAAGATATGAGAGGTGCAGAGTTATTCACCAATAATCAAAGCTGTCACTACTTCCTCAGAATGACGCTACTGCCAACAAAAGCTGAAAACATAAAGATGATTGGGCAGGAGCCAGTGGAGAAGCTCTAGGGCCAGTGTCACAGAGCCTGGATTTAGACTCAGATTTAGACAACCTGTGCTCGCTTGGGAAATGTCTTTATTTGAGAGCCAGAGGCAGAGAGAGAAGACAGAGAGAGTGCTCCCATCCACTGGTTCACTCCCCTAGACGCTCACAGTGGCTGGTGCAGGACTGGCCAAGCCAAAACCAAGAGCTGGAAACTGAAAGCAGGACTCCCTTGTATGGGGCGGAGACCCAATCACTTGAGTCATTACTGCTGCCCCTCAGGGTGTCCTTTCACAGGAAGCTGGAATTAGGCACCACAGGTGGATATAAAACCCAAGTATTCCAATGTGGGATGCAGGCAAACTGCCTGCCACCAGAACCCAAGTTCTTAACCATTAAACCTCAGGCATGGCCAGCGACATGGAGGTACGACAGGCCCTACTAACAAACAAGTGAACAAGAACTGGTCTTTCTGGGCCCCAATGTGGCAATCCAGGACCTAAATCCTTGCATTGTACCCACCAATATTCCATGTGGGTGCTGGTTCGTGTCCCGACTGCTCCACTTTCCATCCCGCTTGTGGCCTGGAAAAGCAGTAAAGGATGGCCCAAAGCTTTGGGACCCTGCACCCACGTAGGAGACCAGGAAGAAGTTCCTGGCTTCTGGCTTTGGATCAGCGAGCTCAGCTCTGACCACTGTAGCCACTTGGGGAGTGAACCAGCTGATGGAGGATCTTTCTCTCTATGTCTCCTTCCTTCTGTGAATCTGCCTTTTCAATAAAAATAAATAAATCTTAAAAAAAAAAAACTGGTCTTTCCCCTATCATTCCAAAAGAAAGAATGGAATATAACAATGCAAACATACTTAGTGACAAAATATACTTAAGGTCACCAAATTACACTTTCAAGAGGTTAAAGTGATAACTTTTATTAAGATCTTTAACCTCAATAAATTTGTTTTAAGTGATGAAAGAGCAGGTAGGGAGAAGAAAAGGGCCTGGAAACAGTTTAGAAATGGTGCATTAGAAACATGTGAATTCAGATCAGAATAATCAGAATTGAGGGCACAAAGCTGGATGTGATCCACTTCACAGCTGCAGCTGAAGAAATGAGAAAAGTCAGCAACGGGGACCAATGAGAGTCACTGGGGAGGCAGCACAGGGAAGGGGCATACACCAAAAGTCACACCAGGAGGGAACAGGATTCCGACAGGGTCACATGGAAGGAAAAAGTCAGCTAGTAGGCCGTTGGCTTTAGCAGTCAAAAACCCATGGGTGACCTTGGACCATAGCGCATGTCCAGAGGGTGAGCCTGAGAGCACTTACGAGAACTGAACTACTAACTAAGATGTGGGGAACAAGCATCCAAGAGCATAAACAACTTTGGAATTGTTGGACATGAGAGATGAAGGTGGGGAGGCATGGAAGACAGCCAAAGGGGAGCAGTGTCTGGGTGTGGGGTTTTTAGGTCAGGCAAGACTTGCGTGTCTGAGGGTGACAGGATTTAGACATTAGAAGCTTGGTCAAACACACAAAGGGGAAGATGATTTTAGGCAGTATTTCCCACTAGCTCAGAGGGTGTCCAGATTAGCATTGCTGACCAGCCCAGCCTTGGAAAGAAGGAAGAATGAAATAGGGGCAGAAGGACAGAAGGGGAAAAACCTAGAAACAATTCTGAGCTGAAGCATATAAAGGAGCTGGGAAATGAGAAAAGCTACACTATGTTCCTAAGCAGAAGTCTGCATCAGACTCTCCTGAAAAACTGTACAGAATTACATTCTACAAGGTAAAGGGAGGGTTAGGGATGGATTTAGAATCACTATGCTAACTAAATTTATCAAGAATAGACCAGAGATTCATGGCCAAGTGTGTGCCCTTCTTTAGTAGTTTTTAAATGCCTAAGATCCACAATGGTTGTGTTTACTCAGCATTGAGGAGTGTCAAAACTGATATGGGATCCTTCCCATCTTTGGGGATTCTATGTGATGACCATAGGGAGTGGCAATCACATATCATCACAAATCCAGGGAATATCAGTTTCATGATTCCCATATGCCCCAGGAGGTATGGCATGGCAGTCAGATACATGTACCTGCCAAGAGCTTAGAAGACACAGTGTTTTAGAGACTGTTTTCAGGTCAGTAGCTCACATTTGGACTTGTAGATGCCACAAACCTTTTTCTTTACACAGTTCATCTATTTTGTGTACTATCCAACACTATGTCAGTCCATTCTTTTCTGCCCCTGTCAGTTAGAAGCTTTTTGGGAACCAGAGTTGTGGCACAGTAGATTAAGCTTCTGCCTTTGACTACGGCACCCCATATCAGAGTGAAAGTTCTAATCTAGCTTCTTGCTAATGTACCTGAGAGGTAACAGAGGAGGCCCTGAGTGCTTGGGTCCCTGTCAACCACATAGGGGAGCCAGGTAGAGTTCCTACCTCCTGGCTTTAACCTGGCCCAGCCCTGGCTGTTGCAGGCATTTGGAAAACAAACCAGCGGATGCAAAATTTCTCCCTCTCCCCCCCCCCCACCACGGTGTGCATGTATTTGTGTGTACACTCCCCTCTCTCCTTGAAATTCTGCCTTTTTAAAAATCAATCTGCTTCTATCTATAACCAGGAATCTGGGTGTTTTTTTGTTTTGTTTTGTTTGTTTTTTGAGTTTGTTTGTTTGTTGAGGCAGAAAGGCTGATGAAGTGAGTGGATGACACTTGGTCCATGAACTAAAGAAACATGTTCTCCTCTTTCAGTACTTCTCCCATTCAGATCTCTGAATGTTCCCATTTTAGAATCATCAAATCCGTTATAAACACAGACACTTATCATCCAAATCATGTCACTTCTTTAACACATTTTTATTGTGTAGCTGTTCTATGTGAAACATTAGGTTGTGGCCTAGAATGACACAGAATTACGTGGCCTTGGGCCACAACTTTATTGGAGACTATTCGTCCTCCAAACATTTAAAACCAGGGACACTACATTACAATGGTGCGAAATATCTATAACAAATCACTAGTTCTTGCTGGAACACTAAATTGTGTTGCATCAGCACCATCCAGATGGCTTAATGGCTTTTCTGATGCATTCTACATGGCAAAGCACTAACCGAATAGATTTCAGAATGCAAGATATGCAAAATAGCTGTTTCATTAATACAAATTTTAAAATCTGTTTTAGGACATAAGCCTTTGGGAATCACAAATGATCATAGCCCTCTCCCATGCAGGGAAAACAGAAACCAAGAAATGACTTGCCAGGGCCCATGTACGTCTAAAAGTTAAAGTCTTGTCGAGCGGTAGCTAAGAACATGATATTCCTCAGAAATCTGAAGCT